ATATATATGAATATGAATATATATAATTTATCTATAAATCTGAATTGTTTAGTAATTTAATAGCAATTAGCATTTTAACATAAGATAAATTTAAGATAACTTTATGATTCTCTTTTTTCTTGCTTTATTAATTTTCTAATTTTTCAATTGGCTAACTCCCCATATATTACTTTTAATAATGAGGGCTAGTTTTGTGTTTAGGTTTAATAGTTAAAAATCAAGAAATTATTTAATTTACTAAGCATAATCTAAAGAAAAACTCTTTACGTTAGTCTTTTTTCATGAAAACCTTTTTTCAAATTAAGTTTTGTAAATTGATTTTCTTAAAGCATTGACTTTCTACTTGAGAGCTATGTAAAAGCCCCCACTCTGCCTGTAAAACACTCTAAATTTGTCATCTTTGTGGAATACACAATATTAATGCATCTGATTGCAAGTGTAATACTGAATTATTAGCATAATTGGGAGGGGTTTTTCATGATTGTTGATGGAATGTGATTTTCCCTAATTATAGTCTGCTGGGAATCTGTTTTAACATGATGCCTATTATTCTATGACAAACTTCCAAACCAAACATTTGGAAAATATATTTTTCTCTTCCAGAATCATGTACAAACAACTATTTCTATTGTCGTTATAGAATAATATTAACAACAGTCTTGTTAGCATAGAAATCATGAATGATTTTACCAAATGCTGAAGAGATATGCAGTATAAGATGATCTATCTTAGATTTGTGTAGGTAGCTGAGCCATCATGCTGGTAGCAGTCCATCAAAATCTCAAGCAACAATTTAAAACAGTCAAAAATAGAGTCCAAGCAAATTCAAGAGGTCAAGTATTAACATTTCATTGCTACCTATTTGCCTGATACGGAAGCAATGTACAAATGAGCCAGCTTGCAATATTATTTCAGAAATCCCCATTGCGATATCATTTTATCATCCTCCCAAGTATTCACTTTTATTCTCTATTAGTGTAACTCCACACATAGGCAACGTTCAGTAATACAACTGTTTTCTTAATACACTTTGCATTCATTTTATTGGGAGATACTTTTAAAATGGAATGACTTGGGAAGGGTTGTTTTTCTGGGTCTGTTGGTACATTATTTTTGATTCTTGAAAAGGTAGCATTCCTAGACAAAGGCAATAGAAATGTGAAGGTCCTCCCGGGTCTGCTGTAGTACAGGTGGCAGCCATCACTATAGGGATCTTTTCACATGTAAGGCTTGTGTGCCAATTACACCATTCCTAAATTGGGAGCCTTCTTCACAGTTGTTCACATCTTAGTTATTTCCCAGATGGACTAAAACAATGTGATTTATATGAGGCCGCCTGTGAAGACCATCAGGAAGTTACAATTAGCAAATCACAGAGCGCTGGACACACCTCCGTTTGCAAATGTTATCCTGTTGCTGGATGAACTTCACTGGTTCCATTTTCATTTCTGAGTTCAATTCAAGATACTGGTTGACATCTTTTAAATCCTATAAGGAAAGATTCAAGTCACGCTTCTGACTTGGCCAGCACATAAGATTAAAAGATCAAAACCGAAACAATTAAAATTATTAAAAACAAATCCTTTAGAAATGCAATTAAACCACTTAAAACTATAATAATACACACAAATTGCAGAGTGCATTCTGAGCTTACAAACAATAAAATAATTTAACAGACTCCACACTTCCATGGGTCCCCAGGCCTGATGTCAAAAGCAGGATTTAAAGGCCTTCTGGAATGCCAGGTTGGGCCAATCTCATTTTGAAGGAATAATGTTTCATAGGGTGGGTACCATAGCAAAAGAGACTCACCTTTTGGGTACCACCGAATAGAACTCTTTGTCTGAAAATATCCCACTCCTGAACAGGTAGATTTAAACTGGGAGAAACAGTCACTCAGATAACCTGACCCCCATGACATGTAGGGATGGATGGACAGTCTGTAAGCGTTTTCTGGTCAATAAATGTAGATATCTGTCTTTTCTCCTTTCCGTAGTTTCAAGAGTCCAAAAGAAGTCAATTTAGCCTTCTCTACAAATTCCATTATCTTCACTAACCATTCTTCCATTGATAGTGCTGACCCTTTCCACTTTTGAGCATATAATAATCTCACTTTATAGCTATATATAAAAACAAAGTTCCATGACTTTTTTCCAGCTGTTTATCCATTAGTCCCCAAAGAAAAGCCTCTGGTTTCAATTGTACATTACAGTAGTCTTCTGAATTAGTGCACGTATTTTCCCCCAACAACTGACTTTTTTAAATATCCACCAAACACGATAAAATGTTCCTTCTTGTTCATATTTCCAGCATGAATTTGAAGGATCTTTATACTTCTTAGAAAGTTTCTCTGATGCCATTCATATTCTATAGCTTGTTCACTTTTTGATACTGTTAAGTACTTGTTTAGAACAATCTTTAGATTTTATTCCTTTTTTTTTCTTATCTTCATAATCAAACTTTTTTCTCTCTGTCAAATTTCTTTTCCTGATGTTAGTCACCACTTCTGCATAGTTAACACTGTGTAAAATTTGAAATGATGAGAGGTTCTACTTTGGACAGTGCTTCCTTGATTCAAAAGATCATGCTATCAAATCATTCAACCATCAGAATTTTGTAATATGTAACTATTGAAGTAGAGGAGCTTCTCCTGAAGACCAGTCTGCCGTTAGATGTAAATAAAATGTAAAAGCTTTTCTCTGATCATGCAGGTTAAATATTAACATCATCTGGTTCATGAGTGATGTATAGTTTCTACAGGAAATCAATCTATTATAAAGCGGTCTTTGACTTGCATCTTTCATATGCAGCTCTGCAATGTGTGCATATGTGCCTGCCAGTCTAATATTGGAATTATGTCACACAGGGCTTTACATTCATCCATTGTAATGACAGGGAAAGAGAAGGATCATGAAATCAATGCATAGAGATGATCTTGTTGGATTGGACTTTTTGAAACAGATTTGGTAACCTTTAATTTAAATAAATAATATAATATTATTCATGATGATAAAAGGAATCTGACAGAAGAGGTAAGCAATTTTAAAAAAGCAATTTTAAGAAGCACATTGGTTTAATAAGAGTCTTTAAGAAACATATCCCAGTAGAGTTGAACAGTTGTACCTATCAAAAGGGCTACATGTTTGTTTATTTGATATTAATTGCATCTACTTCATTAATTTTTCATAAGGCCTGCAGGGCAACTTGATCGTTGTTGCTTAACTCAATTTTAAAAGTACAATTTTAGTTAAATCTCCAAGACTATCTCATGATTATAAACCAGAATTTTGAACAGCTTTAAAGCTGCTTCCCTAATTTGTAGACAATATGTTGAAAAAAAATCAAATAATGGCAGGTCTCTATAACAAATAAAATCTTCACACCTTAATTAAAATAAAAGTTTTGAATACTTCTCTCAATGTCCCCTAGATATCTCAAATGTGCATAATTAGTCTCGTAACAGTGAGATGTGTTAAATTTCTCCCAGCAAGTTTTGCAATGGTTCTGAAACCATTTAACTTTACTTTTGCACGATTTTACCTGTTCATTACCTTTGCTCTTAAACTGAGCTTCCCTTCCACTGCTTAATAGCCTGTAGAAATGGGATATGAGAATGCAGTGAAATGTAGAACGCAAAAGGAAATGTGGGTGATGAAATGAGACAATCTGTATCAAACGGCAACCAATTGTTCATTTTAAAATTACATGTTAGGAGTTAAAAATGCTCTATTGCTATGTCTTAATTGCTCAAATTAGCTGAGAACAGAGTTAAGAAAATTCCACAGCAAATTTGCCATGCAGCTTCATAAATGTCATCCTCCCTTTACTGTATATTGGTAATATATTGTATAACGAAGCTCACAAGGGCAATTGCTTTTCCAAATGAATCATTTTCCAAAACCATTTGCTTGCCAAGCATTTCAGTCATTCAGCTTCACAGAAATCTTGGTGCTACTTTTAGCAGAAGTGGTTCCATCCGACTGCTACAAAGGATACTTCAGAGAATCCGGATTGGCAAGAGTCTGCATTAAGCATGGGAAATAAGAAATACTTATGGAGAAGCACTAATTATGTTCAGCATGTGAGAAAGAAAATAAAATGAAAGAAGATTGATAAGTTTGGAATGAGCCTAATGTATAACGTCCATTCCCTTGCACCATTGTGTGTGAACAGTTGGAAGAAGAAGAATCACATAAATTCAAGGGGTTATTATGTCCTCATATCTACAAAAGAGTATGGAAAAAGAAAGACAGGGACTAGAGAGATAAAAGTGATCAGAGAGAGGAGATGCATGCAGAATTTTGATATGAAATAAATGGTACAGGTCTTGCTAGCAGTTCTCTTTATTTGAACAATATCTATACATTTAAGAATGATCTTTTTGGTTAGGTCATGTGTGTTTTGCCTAGTAGAGTTCAATCTTTGAAATGATGGACCTAGTAGAATTGAGAATCAGTCCAGCAAATCTGGAAATGTTGGAGCTGACAATGTCAAATAATAAAAGGATTGTTTTACTTTTTGCTCTATATGTTTGGCCATTTATAACATAACCCATTTTACTTTTCATTTACAGTAGGTTAAGATGAAGAATAGAGAATATTTATCACAACTGAAAAATCCAGTTCATCTATGTCAGGAAAATCATAAACTGCCATAAACTGCCTTAGACCAAAATTTCTATCCCTGATTGAGAGAAGAAATCTAGAATTTCAGACAGAACTTTTTCCAATTCTACCTGGCTAAGATGAAAAGATCTTAAATATTCTACATGGAAAGCCTCAGTACTAAATTGCAATTGCACTAGAAATAGCAATAGCACTTAGACTTATATACCGCTTGACAGTGCTTTACAGCTCTCTCTAAGTAGTTTACAGAGTCAGCATATTGTCCCCAACAAATTGGGTCCTCATTTTACCCACCTTGGAAGGATAGAAGGCTAAGTCAACCTTGAACCTGGTGAGATTTGAACTGCCAACTTGCAGGTAGCTGGCAGTCAGCAGAAGTAGCCTGCAGTACTGCACTGTAACAACTGTGCCACCATGGCTCATGCTGAAGATTCAATTAATAAAGTCCCCCCAACCCCTGTGAAAACTAGTGGCACAAATTTGAACGAATTTGAGATAGGAAACACAAAAACACTATAGAGTTAGCTGCTATAAAAGTACATTCCTGAAGAACCAAGGGAGAAAAACTTATCCCCACTCATCATTATTCCATTCACTGTGGCCTGTGATCTTCCCCCCAAAAAACTCCCCACATTAAACGCATTCATTGGTCACAATCTATTAGCTCTCACATAATCAGATAACAGATAATCAGAGTTGGAAGGGACCTTGTGGGTCATCTAGTCCAACCTCCCTCCAAGCAAGAGACCCTACACCATTTCTGACAAATGGCAGTCCAATCTCTTCTTGAAAGTCTCAAGTAATGGCGCTCCCACAACTTCCAAGGGCAAGCTGTTCCATTGCTTGATTGTTCTCACTGTCAAAGTTTCTCCTTATTTCCAGGTTAATCTCTCCTTGTTCGGTTTCCATCCATTATTCTTTATCTGGCCTTCAGGCGCTTTAGAAAATAGCTTGACCCCTTCCTCCCCGTGGCACCCCTCAAATATTGGAAGACTGCTATCATGTCTCCCCTGGTCCTTCTCTTCACTAAACTAGCCAAGCCCAGTTCCTGTAACCATTCTTCATATGTTTTAGTCTCCAGTCCCCTAATCATCCTGGTTGCTCTTCTCTGTATTTTTTCCCAACATCTTTTTTATAATGTAGTGAACAAAACTGGATGCAGTACTCTAGGTGTATAAAACCTTACTAAGGCTTACTAAGGCTTTATAGAGTTGTATTAGTACTTCCCTTGATCTTGATTGTATCCCTCTGTTAATACAACTTAGGATTGCATTAGCTTTTTTGGCTGCTGCTGCACACTACTGGCTCATATTTAGCTGGTTGTCCACTAAGATTCCAACATCCCTCTCACAGTTACTGCTATTGAGCCTGGTTTCACCCAGTCTGTATGTGGTTTTTGGTTTTTCTTGCCTAAGTGTAGGACTTTACTTTTCTCTACATTGAATTTCATTTTGTTAGATAGGGCCCAGTGTTCTAGTCTATCAAGATCCATCTGGAGCTTGGGCCTATCTTCTTGGGTGTTAGCTATTCCTTCCAGTTTAGTATCATCTGCAAATTTGCTAAGTTCCCCTTCTATTCCGTCATCTAAGTCATTAATGGAGATATTGAAGAATACTGGGCCTAAGACAGAACCTTGTGGCACCTCACTGCTTACTTCCCTCCATGTAGACATAGACCCATTAAGGACTACTTGTTGAGTATGGTTTGTCAGCCAGTTGCGAGTCCATCTAGTGGTGGTGCTATCTATTCCACCTTTTTCTAGCTTACTAAGAAGTAGGTTGTGGTCCACTTTGTCGAATGCCTTGCAGTAAGGACAGATTATTTTGATCAGAACAAAAAACCTAGCAATTTATCTGTATCCTGAACAAAACTACAGTGAATTTTCTGATATACCTAGGTTTAGTTGTTTTTATTTTCCCATATCTGACATGGGAAGAGCCATTTACTGTTTTAAAGTCTCAATTAGTATATCTTGTCAAAGGATAATATGTAAAAAATATATGGTCACCTTAAGACTTGAATATTTTAAATGAATCATCTAAATTCATCATCTAAATTAGAATTAACATTGGCATTGAATGAATATGTTAGATAGAAATTGTCTTTTAAGTTATTGGGAAATCTTTAAGATTAAATAAATAAGACAAATGAGACCGTAAAGGTATTTTATGATTTTACCATCTTGGGTCTGCTGAATATAGCATGTCCTTCCATGTGCCAAACATGCTGTGTTGCAAAATAAGAGTAAGTTACATATGAACTAAATGGTATAAAGT